CCAAGACTTTCTTGTTAAAAAAAAAAAATAATGATAATAAATAATATGCTCGCAAGTATTGTAATCATATAATTTTTATCCTATACTGTGATAATATTTTTTTTTTTACTTCTAATCTCGATTCGCACCTGTCATGATAGTGACAATTAGCAGATGAATATTAAATGAAATGAATAAACTGAATGTCTTTTATCTAATTTTTTTCTGGGATGGATGGTGAAAAGGCAAAAATTATATTGCTACAATATTTGTGAAAAGATTATTTATTTTTAAAAAGATTAAATCATTATTAATAGCATAGATTATATCTTGAGAACTAACTATCGTGCAAAAAACTCTATGAATAAATTTAAAATATATTGAATAAATATAAAACATTTTCCAAAATATATTCAAAGGATGAGGTCGAACATTAGTAACTGGAAGAGATTGATCTAACGGTAAGTAAGTGCCAGTTTTGATCCGGCTCCAATCTGAACCATAACCTCTCAATCTTACTATATCAACATCTTAGCTTTACTGTAGTAATACCATTACTATAATAGTTATATATTATATAATTCGTGAACATTTTTAATTATATAGGTGTTTAGAGATAAATATATTTGATAACAGTTGACTGTTAAAATTATTATAATGGTAAATAATCAGGATATGCAGTCTTTATATGATTTATTAGACTTGCCGACGTTTGGACACAAACATTTAAGTCATGATCTGGGCTAAAAATTACAAAATACAACAGTACATCAGAAAAAATTAAGTATAAATAGAAGTTTTTTTTTGTTGATACATTATATCTTCGTTTAATTCTTCATCAAATCCAATAATTGAGCCCTTATTTTGAAGATCTGCTCCTTCAGGTGAGGAAAATAGTCACATCCGCCAGAAATTCCAGGAAAAAAAGTTATGAAAGAAAAGAAACTTTATTTGCAAAAAATTTACATTTTTTTGTTGCACCTGAATTATTTGAGAGATTACTAAATTCCTACAAAAAAAAAAACATTGCATATGGATCATTTTTGTTTTTTCTGAGATTCATATATTTCGTAAACATTTGAGTTTAAAATAATAATTTTATTTTCTTGGTCGATTACAATTATGAAAAATATGAAATGATTTCTTTATCTTATGATACATTGTGTTATTTCATTTCCTCATTATTTTGTCATTTGTTCGAACGGGGCAACAAATAACTAATAAAACAATAGTTTATTAGAATTTTTCATGTTTATTATTAATTCGTAAGAGCTAAGTTCCCCAGACTGTAGAGGGCGTAAGCACTTTGTGGGAAAGTTAATTTTTATTATAATTATTTTTCTTTTTAAGGATTATTTCTCAATAAACTGTAATTAGATAGAAATACTTTTTATCTTTTTTCTTTTAATTTATTAAATTATTTTATTTGATAATATTGTTTTTAAAGTTGGAATAATTTGCTGCAACTTAATAGATATTTTTGTTTTGTATAATATCCTCTCTACATCTCTTAAAAATATTAATTCAATTCATTACTAAAATTATATCTTATGCAGGAATCAAATTTAAAAACTCTAAAAAAAATAGTATAAAAAAAAGACCTAAAATGTGCTATTATTTTTAATTTAACGTTAAAATATAACAACAAAAATTCATAACTAAAAAAATAAGATATTTAAATAAACGCATGTGTGCATAAAAGATTTGTGAAAATCTATGACAGTAATATTCTTTAATAGCGAATCATTAAGGTTACTATAATAAATAAATATAATTTTTTAATATCAAGAAATAATGAAATATTATCTTCCTTTGTGGTATATGTATTTCATATTACTATCATATTCTCCAGTTAATCTTCATGTTGGCTTTATACTAATAATGCATTTTATTTATTAGATCCATATTTAAAAGGACGCTATTTAGAAGCGTCCTCGCTTTGAGTTGTATGACTAGGGGAAAATGACTGCTAAGGATGGGCTAATAACAGTTTATGACTAAAAATTTTCTTTAAAAAAAATCACAATATTTCAACTTGGGCTAAGAGTAAATCTGGAGTAAGTTTTTAAACTCAGCACTAGTTCAATCGATGGAATCTATCAATCGATTGAATTTTATTATCCTGTTTATATCCTGCACCAATGTAGGATGATTTATGCAGGAACGCATAAATAAAACAAATGTAAATGAACCAAATTCAGAACCACAGCTTTAGTGCAGATGGTGAATCTTTGCAAATGGGTTTAACTGTCAGCAAATTTAGTCTTTCATCGATTTTTTTTATTTATTAATAAGTTGAAAACTGTTTATTACTGGTACATTTACCTTACCCACTGAATTTTAAATTTCAAAACAGAAATAAATTTTGATAGAAAGTAAACTGAATCTAAATAGATAAAGTAAATAACAATACACGATGAGGTTACATCTAGTGGATCCATTGATCGCAATTGCCGATGGAACTGCTGAGCCAATGGTAATTCAATCAATCAGTGAAAAAGACGTACTGTATTCCATCGATGAGTTTAGAAACTTGCTCCCAGCAGCAATAGAAAAAATGGCGGATATAAAACAGCTGATTTAACATTAAACAACTAAAAGAACAGTTGGTTTCATTCTTGATCACTTATACAAAGACAAATTTTTATAAAAATAAAAAAGATATCTAGAAACTTAATTTTCATAACTAATCTTACTTATTGAACTAAATTAATCAAAATAAATGTTATGTAACTAATTAAAATAAATATTTACTCTTAAATAAATTTTAACAAAAATTAATTCTACAGTTTGTCACTTCCTCTTCCATGAATGGAATTATATAAAACCTTTGGATAGAATCAATGTATGAAAACAATATATTTTCTTGCAATCAATCACCATTCAGTTAATTATATATGGTACGACAGTTCACTGTCGAGGCTTACATATATGATAGTTAACGTGACTGTAGCTGCTTATTTCGCTAAACATGATAGAAAAAATGCTATCTTTATGCCAACTTTCATACAATTAACACAATGCCCCGGAGCTAAAGGTATAGGTTTTTTATTTTTAAATCATTATCCTCTTAAAAAGTATTCCCCAATTAAAGCAAATTTAATATCAACAATATGGCAAATAAATTACGAGGCTTATGGATGGAGTCGACAGGGATTATGTAAGTTTTCTAAAACTTTTGCTAAATGTTTTTTCTAAAGCTATTCTTGTGTATTTCTTTGATTAACATATTTTTTTCTATCTTAAATGTGTTTATTATACTTCTTTCTCTATCTTTTTTTCATTATTAATTCTAATCGAGCATGCCTTTTGCATCTATATTTTCTTATTAAGTATTCTCATGTAATTAGCCTTATTTAGTTTGCTATAATCTATAACTGAATGGTAAGTAAAAGCTTTTAACTATTTGTATGTAGTATTTGCTTTTGCCTAGAATATTATATAACATCTTTTTTAATATAAGGAAAATATATTTTTTAAGATTTAAATTTGATTAAATTCTATTTTGATAAATTTATTAATCTACTAAAACATAAAGTTTGAGTTTAAATATTCTAATTAGATTTATTTAATTATAAAATTAGAAGTACAGTCAAACCTCTTTCTAGTTTTCTGATTTATTTTTCTGTTAGTACTGAAAAGATTTGAATGAATATTGTAATTATATTTTTTTCTATGTAATTGAAGACATGAATGGATGATATTATATAATATTATTATTACACTATAATAATAATTATTATTATCATTATACTATAAGATACAATATTATCCTAAGTACTGGGTAATTATGCGATAAACCAAGAATTTGGAGTTATTAATAACAAGGTGAAGATGAACATACAACACCTTCATTAGCGGGGATAAATAATTTTTGAAAATCAGTGACATTAGAACACTTATCTAATCATGTCTTCAATTGTAATTTTATTAAAAATTATTACTATAGTTGCTACTGATTACACAATAAGTAATTCGTTCAAGAACTCTCACGAGTTGATGTTGTACATTTATAAATATGAACTAATACAACCCTATTATGAAACCTTTTCTCAAACCATATTAAATCTGATTTTGCCTCATTGATGGAAAAGAATTTAATTTTTATCTTAATTAAAATCATTCCATTATTGTTTTTTTCCCCATTATTGCTATTATTATTTGAAAGGATTTAAAAAAAATATTCTTAGCAAACAAAAATACTTGCAGATTGTTAATATTTATTTAGTTTTTCACCAGAAAAAAAATAATTTATTTTGTTATAAGAAATGTTGAATTAATTGTGATATAAACACTTTTTTTACAAATATAGGTTAAAAGTTTTCTTAAATTCAAAAGATTTGAATATCCATTAATATAATTATTCATGTAACATTAAAATAATAATATAAAATGTTAATATGATGACAGTTGCACAAAAGCTAAAATTATTCATTAGACAAAATGAACTGCATATTTCTTATTTTATAGATTAGATTTTCACTTCAAATTTAACTACATGCTTAAAATATAGATTTAATGTTTTAAATAATGTTTCTGGTTATATTTCTGGAAATTCATTTGACTAAGATTAGCAGAAAAGATCAAAACTCCACTTTCTTATAAAATTGTACTTACAAACTTTTCCAGTGTGGCTGTTGCTTTATTTTTTCTCTCAGAAAACATAATAATAATGTCTAATTAACTAAATTAATAAACAAATAAGTTAATAATGATAAAATACTAACTGTTATGTATTAATATTTTAAAAGTTTTTTTGAAAAATTAAAAACTAATAACATTTTCAACCATTGGTGATTTTCCAAATTGAATTTGACATCAAAAATAAAGCATTTCTATTTGCTATTTATAATTTTTGCTATAAAAATATCAAATTTCACACAGTACTTATTGCTAATGATACTGAATATAGAGGTTCAACTGTATTTTAAATTATAATTATCACTCTAGTATAATTAAATTGAAAATATAGTAATTTATTATTTTAAAATTAAATTTGACTATATTTTATGGGTTTTCAGCATGTGATATGAACGTACATAAAAGATGCAAAGAGAGCGTTCCGAACCTTTGTGGCTGCGACCACACCGAGAGAAGAGGAAGGATAGAGTTGAAAATCAGTTGCATAAGCAACAAGTTGGACGTAGACAGTGAGTTCATAATTATATACTTACATTTTCCACTTTATTAATTATGTTTCAATTAACAATAATGTTTATGTGCACATGTACTGATAAATTTTAATTCTTATAGCTGACAAATATTCAGAAACTGATAATAGACTCAGTACATTAATACGAAAGTTTCATATATTTTTTAAATTTCTAATGTTATGTTGTAATTTGTGTTTTGATTTATTTATTTTTAATTAATGATTATTCTAATTAATACTGCCATTACACAAGCATACACATAAAATTGTTAAATACATATTTTTTATGTGTATGCTTATTTAAAAGATAATGAAGTTACTTAAATACAAAAACAAAAATTAATCAAAATAGGTCCACTTGGTGAGGAAATGGCATTTAAAGTTTTTACATTTGAGTGACTTAATATCAAAGATGGACATCTGTCATTTTCAGAAAAATCAATTCAAAAATCAATCAAAAAAGAAAAAAAATCAATTTTTGTATTAAAGTTCAACTGAGCCTGTTCCTGATGATTTTATAGGGTCAGTTATCAACTCGAGCCTTCGGTTCTTGTCGCCCCTCATTGATCACGGATCTACAAGCGTACCCTTGTGATATAAGCATACTCAGTGGTTGATGTAAAGCCGTATGGATTATTCATTATGAATGATTGCGGAGCACAGGACCAATTGTGCTCAGAGTTCAAATAGAAAAATATTTTTTATCTGATCAGATTGGTACTATGGGGTAGCCCTGGATGAGTGGACAGTAGGAGTGCGTGGCCCTGTCTGCCTGTGGCGGAGGTAGTGGTCGTATTTTTTCAGCTATGTACGATACCAGTGACGTGCCAGATCATGACTTTCAGTTGGTTTCATTGTGCTGAAGAGCAGTTAAAAGCTAAGTATAGATAGGATTTGTCCTTTCCGTGGATACCCATAGGTGCCTGTACTAGACCTCTTCATTAGAGGGTGAGGTGAGCTGGAGGGTCTCGGTTAAGACCTTCGAGTTAAGTATGACCCTCTTCCTATACCCACACTTCATATATAGGCCTATAACCTTTTGATGGTTTTATTTAAGGATGATGATTCATGAAAATAAATTCATTAGAATTCATTTAAATTGAAGGTATGTTACAGATTGGCTTTCTATCAACTTTTTAAAAAATTACAGATGACCGTCTTTCATATTAAGTCACTCATATGTTCTTTACGCCTACAAAAGCAACATAAATTGTTATTTGAATAATAATAATAGTAATAATAAAGATTGTCAATACTTCTGACAGGTGTGAGTAAAAATATAGTTGTCTTTTTGTTTATTATATGTTATCTATTTAGTTATAAAAAAAATTATCTGATTTATTTCAATATTTATGTTATTGTTTATTCTTAAATTTTCTTTATGAAATAATGTTTTTGATGGAGCTAGACCTCCTGTAATTGTTGATAATACAAAATGCAGTATTTTTTCATTCATGAATTAAATTTAAAAAAAAAAAAATCATACAGAGAGAATTTTTCCCATAAGTAGTAAGGATTGTGTGGCATACCACACATATTTGATCATAAATATTTGAAAATAATAAACCATTGTGTAATAATTTGTAGCTTTTTTTTTTCATAAAATTAAAAATCAGGAGTTAGCAGAAGATGTAATTATAAATTCAGTGAAAAGGATGAAAAATGGTCAGGATGCGCAGTCAAAAATATTTTTTTATTGTATTTGCCGATGTTTCGACCCAAACACGTGGATCATCATCAGGGCTAGAAATGAAAATATACAAATCAGAAAAATGGTAAATATAAAATTGAGGATAGAGATGGTGGGAAAAAAATAGTTTATCACTATTCTAAGTTGTTTTTATTTATCACCATTACGGACCAACTCTTTTTTCAATATTATATTATGGTCTACCATTGGGTATTCAATAAATATAAAATTACAATGTTACATTGTGTTTTTTTTTTTTAATATCAGCAAACACAGAAAAAACAAAAAAAAAAAGTTTTGTCTAGATATCCTGACCATTTTTCTTCCTTAAAATTTCAATAGTCAACTATATGCCCACCTCTAAAATATAATTTAAATTTTTGTGTTTAGTTCGTCAAGGGAAAAATTTGATTCCAATGGATCCCAATGGTCTTTCGGACCCCTATGTCAAACTCAAACTTATACCCGATGCAGATAATGTCAAGAAGAAAACCAAAACCATCCGCTCTTGTCTCAATCCCGTTTGGAATGAAACTATATCCTTGTAAGTAACTATAAATTAATTAATTTTATTTTTATTTCTTGTTTTTCATTATTGATGTAGGTCTTAATGTTTAATCAAGTAGAATAATTTTGGACCTTTTAGTTGTCTATCAATGCATATTTATCATCTTACCTTAATGTTCTTAGTTATGACAAAATGTAATATTGATCAATAAAGAAATGTTTTTTAAGAAAAAATAAACAAGGTTGTTTATATATTGTTTCTTATCAATGATTTTAAAAACAATTAAAAGAAAAATATAAAACCAAGAGTTTATGTGATGATTGTTTAATGGGATTAATGTATATTTACTACAGAGAATTTGATGTGTTATAAATTTATTTTTTTATTTATTTTTTTTTTTCCTTTATTGAGTATTATAACAATCTGTCTCTTGGACATTGGTTATAGTGAGGTAGGATGACATTCACACTCTATGTACAAAAAAATAAAATAAATAGAACAAAATAATAATCAAAAGTATATACAATAGATAATAAAATAAAATAACCTAAAAAATAAGAAAATTAAAACTAAGAAAAAAAAAAAACACATGCATACCTATATACAATCAAGCGAGGGAACTCCAGGAGAACCCTGCGCTAATCTCCCAACCGCATCACGGGTACTAAAGCCAGCGGAGATTGGTCGAGAGCACTTTAGCCACATACACTCATTTCTTGAGTGAGTGGCCATTGCCAGAACTCCAATCTTTTTTTTTTTTTTCCTCTTTATTTTTTAATTCACAACTGTCAATGTCCACTGACAACCAGTGAATGAGATAACTGTACAAATAGACTAGGAGAAAGGGCATGATAGGCATGAGGAAGAGAAAAACCCAGTGGTTTATCTTCAGTCATGTTTGTGGTTAATTAAGGAGATCTCTCATTCAACTCCTTTTCAGCCATCTGCGGATGTTATCGGGCATGTTTTTATTGGCCATGTCTTGGATGAGTCTATTGGGGTGACCATAGAGCTTGTTGTGAAACCTTTTGTAGTAAGTTTGTATATGTTCTGTGACAGTTTGTATGTGTAAGTCTTCGTGGAGAGTTATGTTACTAACATACCAAGGTGCTTGAGTAATTGTTCTGAAGGTTTTGGCCTGAAATATATGTAATTTCTGAATGTGAGTTTTTTTGGCAATTCCGAATATTTGTGATGCGTATGTCCAAAGTGGTTTTAGTAAGTAAGTGTAAGTGTTAAGTTTTTGTCTTAGATCTAATTTTGAGCGATGTCCCAGTAGGGAATATAATAGTCTAAATCATTGACTTAGTGTCTTTCGCCTAGCAGTGATGTGTGGGCCCCATGTCATCCTTCTGTCAAATGTTAGGCCTAGGTAATGTACTTTGTCAGATTGGGGAATATGTTCATTGTCAAGATAGACAGGAGGGCAGTTTTCGCGTCGGAGTGAAAATGTTATGTGTTGGGATTTGTTGTGATTTAGTTTTATTTTCCAAAGTTTGTACCAGTCGTGTAAGATTTGCAAGTGATTTTGTAAAGTATATGAAGCATGTGTGGGGTCATTGTGCCTTGTGATAATAGTAGTGTCATCAGCATAGGTGGCTATCAAAGTGTCACTGGAGAGGGGAATGTCATGTGTGTAGATTATGTAAAACAGTGGTGCAAGAATTGATTCCTGGGGCACTCCAGCCAGAATTGGTCTGATAGTTGAGATTTCAGAGCCTTGTCGAACAGAGAAAAATCTATCAGAGAGGAATGATTGTAATATAAGATAGTAAGTGGAGGGAAGTATTTTCTTAAGTTTATAAAGAAGTCCCTGGTGCCAGACCCTGTCAAATGCCTCAGCAACATCCAGAAATACACCAGTAGCATACATCTTTTGCTCTAGTGCTGTTGTATGTAATCTGTGACTCTGTGTAACTGTTGAGTGGTAGAATTTAATGATCTAAATCCAAATTGATGATCGGGTAAAATTTTTTGCTCTGTTAATAATGTATGGAGTCTGTTATATAGTAATTTTTCAAATATTTTGGCACAAGTAGGAAGTAGACTGATAAGTCTATAAGCTGAAGGGGAAGAAATTTCTTTACCTGGCTTATGAATCATGGATATGTATGAATACTTCCATTGAATAGGAAATTTGGCAGTCCTCAGTATAGATTTAAATATGGTAGTTAGAAACACCAGAGCTTTCCTGGGCATTTGATGGAGCACTTCAGCATTTACTAAGTCATAATCAGGGGTTTTCTTTCTTTTTAACACTTTAATTTGTTTTGCAACCTGTGATGGGGAAAAGGAGGTGGGAGGAGGGGTTAATTGTAATGGAGTGTCCAAGAAGTTGAGTACAAGGTTATCGTGTTCAATGTTCGCTAGATTAATATGTGGAGTGAAAACTAATGAGAGGTGATTTGCAAAAAGTTCTGATTTTTCTGTGTCCGACACAGCCCAGGAGCCATCATCTTTACGAAATGGTGCTGACACCTACCGGTGTTTTAGCAGCTTTTTTGTGTGTCTCCACAAGCTTCCATCGTCTGTTGAAAGATTGTTGATGTATATGTCATACTTTTCTCGGTTGAATTTTTGTATTTGTCGTTTTAATTGGTTTTTTAGTCTGTTAAATGACTGTCTATATGATGGGAGTCTGTTCATCTGCCAAACTTTTCGAGCTCTTCTCTTGGCTCTGATCAGGTTCCTTATGTATTGTGGATAGTTTGGTAGATTTCCTGTAGTCCGAGGTTTGGGTACTGAAGATTTCCAAGCTGCTTCTTGGATGCTTTTTGTGAAAATGTCTACAGCTTCCTCCAGTTCTTCTTGTCTTTTGATAGACACTGGGATGGAAAGAGCAGTGTTCAGGTTATCCCTGTAGCTATCCCAATCCATTGTTCCATTGCTAAGAGATGGTTTTCTTATTGCCTCACATGGTTCATCCAACAGCAGCAGATTCACAAGGGAGTGATCAGAGCAAAGAAGTCCAAAAGGTTAGGTGTTTTATGTCTAGAAGTGGGCCAGTAAGTTGGAGAGTTTGGAGTTATTGTGTCCAAGGAAAGCTCGTGAAGGGCTATCCTAAGATTCCTTCCCCTTGGAGTACAGAATCGAGACCCCCACAACTGGTGTTTTGCGTTGTAGTCTCCTCCAGCGATAAAACAGCTTCCTAGGTGTTTGAAGAAACTACAAAACATGGCAGTTGTCAGAACATACCTAGGGGGACAGTAAATTGAAGCAAAGGTGATAGTGTTGTGTTTAGTATACATTGTTATGCCTGTGGCTTGGATGTCAGGTGTTACTGGTAATTGTAGTGGATTATGTTTTATTGTGGATTTTATTAGTATTGCAGTGCCACCCTGAGCCGTGCTGTCTGGATGGTCTGTTCTGTAAGTTTTGTAGCCTGCGATGTAAAATTTGGTTCTTGGTGTCAAGTGAGCTTCAGTGAAAAGAGCGATGTCAATTCGTTTCTTATGTAGATATAAGTCAATTTCAGTTTTATGTTGTGTCAGACCGTTAGCGTTCCACAGAATGATGGACAAGGAGCCTACAGTGAGAGGATTAAGGGGCCTACTGGGGGAATAAGACCTGAGTCATCTGTGAGATTTGTTGCAGAAGGCTGTAAAGGGGTTGGATAAGATTGTTTAGATTTGTTATTATTTGAGAAATTTGAGAGATCATTTTCGGTTTTGGGTGCCGACTGCGCAATACTCTTCCTTATACCTGAATGCCTATGTGGAGCTGAAGGCTGTCTTGGTTGAGGTCCTGAGATGGACTTAGGAAGTTGGGACTTTGGCTGCTGATGTTGTGCTGGCATCTCAGAAGAGTGTTGAGGCTGTGTGTGCTCCTACTTCAGGTTGGGTTGATTGCGGACACAGAGCTGGCTGAGGTAGTGGTGGAAACTCCTGAATATCTGGTGGTGCGACTTGCTGGATGGATGCTCCCCTCTGTTGAGTCCAGTGCTTTTTCTGAGCCCTCAGGTCTTTCAGAGTTTGGCAACCTCTGTAGTTGGCTGGATGCTCCCCCTGACAGTTGGCACATTTTGCTCAGGTTTCTCTGCTTTTATTGCAGGAGGCACTTTCGTGTCCCAAGCCTCATTTCACACACTTCGGAGTATGATTACAATATGTTTTGGTGGGTCCATATATTTCTGACACCTCGTGCACTGGGGAATAATTCTTTTTTTTCTTGGTTCTTCAATTTCTATTCTTGTGTAGTACAAGAAATCCATATTAAAGATATTATCATTTTATGTCTCCTTATATCTACGAAGAACATAGGTAAAGGTTTTTTGAACCTTGAGAGGACATTTGTGATATTTCTTGCCTCATACCCATTCATTGATAACTCCTCTTTGATAATTGAGGATGGTGTAGCGTGATGCAGCCCTTTAATTACCACTTTGGGCATTTTGTCTTCAAGGAGCTGATAAGTGTGAAATTCAGCTCCATTGCTCTTCAAGCTGGATACCAGTTTCCTATATACATCAGGTGTTTCTGGTAAAATTGTTACACCCCTGATATTGTTTTTTAATTTGAAAGAATTGTGACCAGCTTCATTCTGAAGAAAAGAAACTAGGGCTGTATAATTTGAGACTCCCTCTATATAAATTGGGGGTGGTCTTACCTGTTGAGCTGACTGTTGTGCCTCATTATTTGGCTGGGTTAGAATTTCAAACCGGTTGCGCGTTTGAACACTAACATATGTTTTTTTGGCTTTTTTTAAATTGTTCTCCGACGTTGACTGGCGCTTTCGACCTGTTACGAGCTCCCAGTTGTAGACGGTACTATTTTCTTCGTTGTCGGTAGCGTCCATATTACTAGCTGGTGGCTGCTGCTCTGTGGTCGACGTCTCGACCATTTTTTTGACAACAAAAATTATGTTATGCTATTTGAAATTCTCCTATAAATAACACTAGGTTGTATTTTACGTTTTTAACGAGAATAAAAACACTTGACACAGTTTCTATAGACTAAACTCAGCGCGCACATAAACAATGAACTTGACGTGAGCAAGGCCCAAGATGGCGTCCCGTTTTGTATCATAATCAGAATTATATTTTATTAATAAAGTTTATTTTGATTTTTTCACTGGCTATAACAGAATAGTAACCTAAAAGTTGGATTGAAACAAATCTGTACCCTAAAGGTAAACAACACCATGTCCATTTTTTCACTAAATAATTTAGTAACGAAAAAATAAATTTTAATTTTTCAAAGTTAAGGAAAATTGGCTCCTTGAACAAATACAAAAATGTGACATGGTATCCTTTCAGAGGACAGATTTAGTAATAAAGAAACAAATTTTAATTGTTCAAAGTTGTAGTAGACATCCCCCTGTATTTACTCCTTTAGATGACAATGTGTGAGGGAATGAGAAGGAATATATAAGCAGACCCTATACGGTAATTCATGAATGAACGTCACAAGAAGTGCCAAGATTGCCCGCGATCGCATTGATCATGAAGACCCTTACATGTTCAATCATTACTGATCATTACTTATCGTTGCTGATACCAATTTAGCTCAGTTGTAAACAAAGAAACAGCTTAGATATGCTTATTTGGACATTGTCATTTATAATATTGGGCATCACGGGAAAAGCGGAGGTATAATAATTATTTCCTAATGCCTGAAAATCGTTTAGAACAAAGTTAGTAAAATATAAGTCAACTACATACAAAAATCTAGGAAAAGTATTGCGAAAATATTCAATTTGTTCAGAAAAATGGAAAAATGAATGGCAAATAAACACAACAGTTAAAGATTTTTTTTCTATAAGTAAATTGGGAAGCTTCCACTTTTTCTCTTCAATTTATTGCCTACTTGACTACTTAAAAAAAAATAGTTGAAAATGGTTAATAATAATATAGACTAGGGATATAAACAACTATTTACTTAATAACGAGACCTAGGTAAACTAACCTATCTAGTAGTAGTCTCATAGGTTAGTTTCATAAAAAATCGTTTTGACAAAAGTTAGTAAAATATAAGTCTACTACTTACAAAAATTAAGAAAAGGTATTGCGAAAATAATAAATTTGTTGAGGAAAATGGGAAAAGAACTGATAAATATACACAACGTTAAAGTTTTTTTTTTCCTAAAGTAAATTGTGAAGTTTCCTCATTTTTTTTTTTTTTTAATTTGTTGCCCACTTGACTATTTAAAAGAAATAGTTGAAGATGGTTTAAAATTATAAACAAGGGATATGAAAAATTATTTAACTATTTACATATAATGAAAATCAGAAATTTATAATGGTTGTGAGGCCTAGGTAACCTAACCTATCCAGCAGTATGGTCTCCGCACTACTTTTACCTCAGTCCCCCTCCACTTCTCGTGAATGAACCTTTGATTTCCGGATGTTCGGAAATCCGCAGCGCACCTCCATCAGTACTTCATTCACTACCTTACACGACAATTCGGAACGTCATTAGTGCAATTCCGATTGACCGTGTAGGGTCCCCTATAGGGATGTGAGGTAGCACTGTGAATTGTACTCAACAAGTGGACAAATTGATCATTGGAAAATCTCATATCGATAAACAATCGATAAGGAAGAAAAGGTCCGATCAGGTAGCTGGGAACAGGTCCTGAAGAGGACGCCAAACACTTGAGGCAAAAGGACGGAAGCGAGAGGTTGTCATCTGGGAAGAGAGGCCTACTACGTTGAAGAGCAAGATTATCAATGTTTTGTTAGACAGGAGTGAATAGTCATTTTATTTAGTTGTCCTATATGCCTCACAATTGAAGAATAAACCAGGTGAGTCAATACCTTCAAAGTGTTGACTATGTCCCACTTTTCATATATGTATTCTTATTGTTTCTTCTCACAGTGTCACAAAAGGTAATAGATCCCCGAATTCTCAATCACAGTTAAACACCCTCAATGTAGATATCTGGTGCTAGGGTTTTGTTTTAATAATTCACGAGTGTAAATAACCTCATGCCGGGATATAAAAGCGGAAGGCTATGGGCCTATTCCCACCTAAACATCTTTATTTTTCATTTAACTCCCTGTAGGTTATTTACAAAGTTATTGAACAATGACTTCTCTGAGCAATTACAAAATTGATGTGTTCTTGTTTACCTCAGGGCTACAGAAATAAGAATATTAATTTTCAAAATCATGATATCTCAAAAAAATAAAATTATTGTACCATCTATTGCTTTACAGGACACTGCTATTCCATCTTCCCACAAAAATCCTACCATTGCATCAATTGCCCTTCAAAACCACCTCCATGATCTTCAAAAGTGGTTTGAAAAATGTCCACCCATAACGATTACCAATAACCCAGTGCCTTCAAAGAACTATGTATGGTACCTTGGGTTCTACTTAGACAAAAGACTTACCTAGAACATACATACAAATTAAAAAGAAAAGAATTTACTAGATGATACAGCCATCTTCTGGATTACGGATCTTCACTCAACTTATGAAACAAGTGACGGATCGACAACACCCTACTGAGACCAATATGAACATATGGAGCCAAAACTTTAAGGTTCGGAAAACAAACACACACATATACAAAATACAAACAGCACAATAAAAAATTCTACAAAACATGATTAACGTACCTTGATACATTTCAAATAATACTATACATAATGACTTAAACACCCTAACAGTAAAATCCTACATCCACGACAAATACACTACATTTCATTCTTCAACCCAAAATCACTCCAATCCTCTGGTTCTTTCTATCTCCTGCTCCCTGTTACCTGAACAACACAGATTCAAAAGAAAATGGACAAGAGACCTACTATATCGATAAAAACAAAATCAAGCAAATACACCAAAACAATACAAATTTGCTAGATGTGCTACTGCACAGGTGTGAACTGCATGGAATATAAATGAATAAAAAACTATTCAAAAGTTAATTTTTTAATATTGGATTTTTTTTTATTATTATTTTTGCTGCAAAAGATAATGATTCTGACTTCTTTATTTATAATTTTTATTTCTTCTTCTAACCATTAACTAATTTAATTGACTAATATTTTTAGTGAACTTAAGGCGGAAGATAAAGACAGGAGGCTTTTGATAGAAGTTTGGGATTGGGATCGGACTTCTCGAAATGACTTCATGGGTTCGCTGTCGTTCGGGATTTCGGAGCTAATTAAAGCTCCAGTTGAAGGCTGGTTCAAGCTCCTCACGCAGGAAGAAGGCGAGTTCTACAACGTACCTGTTCCAGAGGAAGGGGCCGACTTAGCTCAGTTGAAATCGCAAATGCGTGTAAGTACATTTAAACCCTTTCTTATTAATTATCTTTAAATAACATTTTCTGTTTCTTTTTCTATATATAGTTTAATTTATAAAAAATATGTGTCGTTGTTTATTCCATTTATAAAGTAAGAAATATTAATTCAAAACTAATTTAGTTATATGTTATTTTCTAATTTAACAATAAAAAAATGTGTTTTCTAATAATCCAATTCTATGTATGCTGTCAACAAGTAGACTAAAAGTAATATGAATTACTTCTCTCATTGACTCTTACATTCTGGTTGCTAAGATCTGGAGTTTAGCATATGCTTAGAATAAGCACTACGATTAGTCTCCCATAACATGTAAGGGTACTCCCTCTGCATAGGCTGGTTGTGCTCCAGAATTTCCTTAACAGACACAAACCATGGTCAATAAGTGCATATATAAGTTATCTGCCAAAACCAAACTCGAATCATGGGCCATGAGTTAGGAGTATAATGCCTTACCCACACGTTAAATATACTTTTATTTTTAATAATTTTTTGGAAAAGATAATTTTTTAACACAATTTAGAAACAAAATTAACTGAGATGTATTAGGCTCATCGATTCGATTTAAGTTATAAAAACTATATTAATCTTCTCATATGTAAATTTATGTTTGTTTATTAATTTCGGAAAAATAAAAAAAATTCAATTTATTTTAAAATTACTAATTTTGCCGCTACATGTTTAAAATTTGTTGTCCAAAAATTTTATTTAACTTGAAATTAATTAACAGTAGCTAACATTGTGATCCTTTTTAGAAAAATAAATTATCCATCAAATACCCATGAATTTAGAGTTTAAAATTTCCGTATATTATTTATTTTACCATTTCCTGTAGTAGAGGAAAGTAGTTTTGAACATTTATAAGTAGACTGGAAGAATCTATACCAATATTTCCTTAAATATCTACAAGAAATTTTCACAATATAAAATCTTACATACTTCCACCAAGTAAATATTATTTGTATGTTGTTTAATATTTAAAATATTATTATGTATTTTAGTGTTATTACATTTAAGTAGTTATTGAGAAACATACAAACCCTTTTGAGATCATAAAAATTTAATATTTCAGCATATGAAAATATACTTGGTCTTTTTAATGATCAACTATTATTTTGTATTAATAAAATACTAAGTATTTTATGCTTTCATTCTCTATCCAGTATATGCTGGATATAAAATTATAATTAATATTAAAAAATCTGTAATTCGAACTTTATTTTTGCTTCTGGTTTATATATTTTTCTTTAGTTTAAATTGTTATTGTTTAAAACATTGTTATTTAGTTTAAATTAATGAGGTTATAAATTGTTAAATTTGATCATTTAAAATTATAAAAATGAATTAATAAATTAAATTAAAATTGAATATTTAATATGAGTAGGAGTTAGTCGAGGGTGCGGTCAAATAAATAAAAAAATTAAAATATATAAATTATTTTTTATTTTTTTTATTTATTTGACCGCACCCTCGACTAACTCCTTCTCATATTATATTAACGGTCAACCATCTCTACATCCCTATGAATATTTAATAGTTGACCGTTGAATTATTAAGGAAGGAGATGGTCCGGGGTGGCCATCATAATTAGTGGTAAAACTATTTTATTGGAAGCCAATGATAAAATTAAAATCATTTTAAGAAACTGCGACACCATTTTTATAAGTACTGAACTGTGATTTTTAACACCACCTATATTTCGGACACAGATTGCAACCAAACTTATTTCAATTTTCAATTATAAAATTTTATTACTGGAAACAACTTGAGAATAGTGTTGAGTATAGTAATGGTTCTCTGAATACGAGATGTAAAATAAAATTTTTAAAAATTGAAATAATACTGTTATATTGTATGCACCTGAATAATTAGAAATATTAAACATTTTAATACTATTTAATGAATATTTAATCTTAAAATTATCGGTAAAACAATAATAAATGATAATATTGTAGATAAGAAACATTACATATTTTACGATACTTAATTTTTTGAATAAATAAATCAATATTTATATTTTTACATTGATCTAGGGGTTCGTGACCCATTCAATTGTTTTGTAGAAACCAAAGTATTGTTTTCACTTGTTGAAATATTATAAAATAAGTAGTTAATTAATTTTCCCCATACCTAAGTTGTAAGTATAAATTAATTGTTTATAGTAAATGTAATATGTAATATGTGTGTACGCAGGGACCTAAAAGTCAGATGCGACATTCGGTGGGTGGTCCATTCTTTAACTTTCATTAGTATGCATGAGCATGTATTAAGTGTCTGTTCCTATGTCCGTTATGTCTTATATTAGAATTTGTTCGCACTCTACTTCGTATTAACTGATATTATATTCAAGAAATTATCTTTAAAGATTTGTGGGAAAGCCTATTTTTCCATGAAATAAATATAGCTTATGTTCAACATTGGGTAACTATTAAAGCAGTAAAACCTCAATTAGTTAAACTGGTGGGATATAATAGAGTGAACTCTTTATTAATAATAAAGACATATACAATAAGAAACCACGTTTCGTAACTTTAAAGTTCAGTAAAAAATACAATAGTTTTTTATATTCTTACTTTCAATCTTTGGTGAAGTAGATATGAACTGATTAATTGCGGGACAAGGAAATAAGAAGAATGTTCGACTTCTATTTCTTTTAGGTTCTCATATCTTTTATATGTCTATTACGAAGTAGGTATATTATGAATATTTTTCGTATATCAGTAGGTATATATCGTAATATTAGTAAATCACTAATTTATACTATTGTAACATGTAAATAAGCCCTACACGTTTTGGGAAAATGTGTTATTTTCGGATTATAGCAACTATAATATATTAGTATCTGAGGTATTCATCTAAAAAATATGTTTGGAGGAAATAAGGAAAGACATGCATTGTCATTGTTTGGGACTGTATGAGTGCCAAAGGAGTTGGTTAACTAGTCTTTATTTACTGCTGACAAATATGTGGATGTGTTGCAATGCAATTTAAAAAAAAAAGTGCGCAAAAGTTAGGAATGCAGGACGCATATACGTTTCAACAGGACAATGAGCCCAAGCACACGGCCAATAAAACCAAAGAATGTCTGCTATGTTTCGCAAAATGCTCAAAACACCTCCACAATCACCGGATCTTAATCCGATTGAAAAGTTATGAGCGCTACTGGAATTACAAATCTGAAAATATCTTTGTTGCTCTCGGAATGACTTAATAAACAATCTTAAAAAATCTCGTGAAAATAATGGACCAGAGACCAAGAGGCTTGTGGAACCGATGCCAAGGAGACTTAATAAACGTGAAAGGGTACCCTACAACGTATTAAAATTAATTGAGATTGATATTAATTATATTTTCTTTGGGTTAGTTAAATGTACTAATATTTTTTTTTGTGCTTCATATATGAAAATATTGACATTTTTCATGCAATATGAGTTATAAAATTTTACTTTTTTATACAACTAATGTAAAATAAAGTTTCTAATTGTTATCTATAGTTATTTTATGTTGATAACATAAATAAAAAGATTTTGGACTAAAACATATGGTGTGTGAATTTTTCGCCACTGTATAATTGAGGTTTTACTGTAATTTTATCGAATTATTCATGCGATGAACTGATAATGAGGCAATTTTAAAACAATAAATATTGAAAAGATGATTGTTTGTAGCCTGGCTGCATGTAGAATATAGACATCGTCGTAGAATAGAAAATATATTGTTTTAGTGATGAAATGTTTGTTATCACAATAAAAATCTCATTTGTCATTTACAAAAAATTACTTAATTAGGCATTATATTTTTCATTTCGTAAATGATTTCATTATAAGCTAGTATTCACAGTTAAAGTATGAATTGTGATTGAAATTGGTGCATTATTGTCAAAATTAGGATATTTTTGTTACTGTGCCATATATTCATTAAAAGAAAAATTGCTGTTCGTTTTGTCATTAATATTATGGTAGATGAGTGTTCATTTTACAATTTATCTTATAAAAAATAAAGCTGAATGAATGAATTTAAAAGGTATCGATGTCACTCTTGCACACAGAGGTGTTTCACAAATTCTAGATATATGGAGACCTCTTCATTAGAAATGGTAGAATTGTTAAAAAATAGAAAATGCAAGTGCATGTTATATTTTTGTGGTTATGTTTCTTCAGAATCGATTTTCTACTCACAATCTATTGGTTCAATTGTAGAGACATGCTGCTTATTTAAACAATCTAATTATTGAGTTTAATTTATGTTAATTAGATATGGAAATGAAAATAAAAGCTATCGGGTACTAGTTCTCTTTCGCTAATCCAAGATGACTGTCTATTTTCAGATCACACAGTCTAGCTACTCCTAGATTCCAGAAAATTGTAAATAACCTACTGAAAGTTAATTTTAAATAATTTGTTTTGGCGGGAATTGGCGAATAGCCTTCCGCTTTTATATCAGGGATTTAGATTATTTACACTCGTGAATTATTAAAACAAAACCCCGGCACTGGATATTGACTTTTTGAGAGTGTTTGACTGTTGTTGGGAATTCGATAATCTAATACCTTTTGTGACTCTGAGTGAGAAGAAACAGTAAGAATATATATTTGAAATGTGGGACTTAGTAAATACACTTTGATTGAACTGACTCACCTGGTTTGTTATTCTTCAATCGTGAGACATATAGGACAACTAAATAAATAAATGACTTTTCACTCCTGTCTAACAAAATTATTTATTTCTACAACTGTAATAAATTGACTCTATTAAAGTGTTATAACTATAGACTTGATCTTCTAAATCTTGTAGTAGACTCTCTTCCCAGGTATGTCGTTCCGCCTCAAGTCCGTCCTCTCTTCTGACAACCTCCTTTCTACCTGCCCCAGCCTAGAATGCCTTCCCTACTCTCCAGCTGTTGCTACCTGCTGGGTCCTTTCGGTACCTCCCACGTTCTTCCTTCTTCATCGATTATTTATCGATATGAGATTTTCCAATGCACAATTGAGTACAATTCACAGTGCAACCTCACATTCCTATATATTATATATTCCTTCTCGTTCCCTCACACAATGTCATATAAAGGAATAAATACCTACTACAAAATACCCCGATATTTCAAAAAGGAGATGAAGTCTACCGATCTATAATTGTAAATTAGCTGCCATTTTTAAGAGGGAAATTTGTTCTCAGTTATAATTATTATTATCACCATCGACTCCTGGTGAAGCATAGGACACCTAAAAATGCGTTCCACTCCGCTACAGCAATCATTCTACAGCCTGGCTCGGGTCATTTTAAACAGAAGTGCACCATTTTTCTCTAGGTCTTCCTTTTCTTCTTGTTTCTTGGGGTAAGAAGCAAAGCTTCTTTCTCGATGGCTCAATATGATCCTCAAAGTGTGTTCTATCCATTTCCATTTCTTTTTCCTTATTTTGGGGTGGATAAGAAGCTGCTCTGAGGTACTCAAGAGCTTTTCGTTAGAGATCGTCTTAGGCCACCAGATCCTCAGGATTCCTCGCAAGCAATAATTGATGAAGGTCTGAAGGGATTGGATAACGTTTCCGGTCACCTTTCATGTTTCACTGCTGAAGAGCAGGACCAATTTTATGTTGGTGTTAAAGAGCCTTATTTTTGTTATATTTGGACAATTTATTGTTCTTCAATAATGAGTAATGTTGAGCAAATGCCTCATATGCATTCAAATGCCCAGACCTGTATATCAATCAACTTATTTTGTAACAGAACACATTTTCCTAATTACGAATTATATTATTTAACATATTTACACATAAGAAAGGTGCGAATATAACCCAACCTATACTAAGCAACTCATTTAGTCAAGGCAATATGTCGGATGTATACAGGATTGTCGATACTGAACTACTTTCATCATTTATCAGGAATATGGAAATAGTGTTCTCTTGTGATCATAAAAACGGCCGCAATCCGGGGGAAGCGAAAGGGAACTAATACCAATTATCAGGTCATCATCAAAATATTAAAAGAATTGAGGTATTCATAGTTAAAACTGATCAAGTCCAAAAGTTTTAAAAAATTTGTTTGTTGTGAATTAACTTCCTTTTTTGTGTTCTTTTGGAAGAACATCTTCTATTTTTGTATTACAGTGCCATCTTTTGGATCATTAGAATATTAAAATTCTTCCTCTGTTAGAACATCTATTCTTGATGTTGGAGTAAGGATTTAAATGGAGACTTTAATGTTATCTAAGAATTAATTTATCAAGACTTTTATAACAACTCTATACAAACGGATTCCTCACTCTATGTTACATAATTTTTTTTTAAATACATATTTCTTTTTTTAATATATATTCTAAATTAATAAATCTCCTTTTTTTAATAATAACATAGCCTCCGTCAATTTATTGTGCATTATTTATTATTTAATGGGAAACTAGAAGGAATAAAGGTTTGTACTCAGCGTATTTTTTTTTCCAATACTTTATTTATTTATTTTATTTTTGCATATTTCATTAGATTTTAGGGCAATGTGTTATATTTTTTTCAAGTTTCATTGTAAAAATTATTGTGATTAAATAAAATAATAATTTTAATTTTTAAAAAAAATTTTCTGAGCGATAATTATTTTAATATTTTTTTAACATTATTTTAATAGTAGTATTAAATAAGTATAATAAATAAATATAATTGTTAAATTATACAACAATATTTTTTATTTTTAATAATTTTAGTAATAAAATTTTAAATTATTATATTTGTACAAAGAATGATTGATTCCATTTGTTCAAGAAGACTTCCATCACGAAAAAAGCTCCAGTAATGACCGATAAAGATGTCCCTCACAACATGTCCAAGAAAGACGTTATTAGAGCTTCCGACTTCAATTTCCTCATGGTCCTGGGAAAAGGAAGTTTTGGAAAAGTGAGAATTTTGTTTTTTAATTTAAATATATGTATATATTTTAAATATAAACAATATTTTTAAACCGCCGTTCTGTTTCAGGTTATGTTAGCTGAAAGGAAAGGAACGGATGAACTTTATGCCATTAAAATTTTGAAAAAAGACATTATAATCCAAGATGATGATGTTGAATGTACAATGGTAGAAAAAAGAGTCCTTGCGCTTTCTCAGAAACCTCCTTTTTTAGTACAATTACATTCCTGTTTCCAAACTATGGTTTGTTTCATTGTAAATATTTTGTTTTTTAGAAACATAATTTAACAATATCAATAATTACATAAAATTTTTTAGGACCGTTTGTATTTTGTAATGGAATACGTAAACGGGGGTGATCTTATGTTCCAAATACAACAGTGTGGAAAGTTTAAGGAGCCAGTTGCTGTGTGAGTTCAAAATAATTATTATTTTTAAAATTTATCAAACCTTAGATTTGTTAAATATTAATAGGCATATATCATTATGATGCTAATTTGCAATAATTAGAAATCATATAAATATTGTCTCAACAATTATATAATAATAATAATAATAACATAATAATGCTTGATTATTACAAGCATTATCAATCTCTATGATCGTCAGCCAAAGTCATTTGCCATAGCAATCATTATTATATACAATTACATGTTGTACGTGAATGTAATTAAATTGAAATATCTACGAACTCCCATCTATGAACTATAACTACTCAATAACAAATTTTATGTAATTTAGGTTAATAACCCACACTTAGCTTTCAAAACCCACCGATTATCATTTGTATTCCTTGTTTCAAAGCAGTAAATTTTATTTCTATAATGAGACAGTTTTTTATTCAAGAAAACATTTTTATTAAAATATTTTATTCCAATGGTTCCCTAACTTGACCTGATTAATTTTTTAATTCTGAAATATTATCAGAGTTAATGTCCAAACATATGTTTTTCTTTTTTTGCTCAATTTAAAATACCTTCTATTTATTTATTATTATTTTTTTTTTTTAAGGATGTCAATCACACCATTTATAGACTCAAATTAATACTCTTAGAAAAAACTAAATAATAATTAGTCATTTGCAGCACTAAAAAAAAAAAAATATGTATATATATATATATATATATATATATATATATATATTGAAGTATGTGATGATTTAATAATTATATCACTACTGTTAGTGCTAAAGGTTGTACATAAAAATTGAGTTTTTTTATTAAAAAACCGATATTTCTTTGTGAATTATTAGTGTAATTTCATATTTTATTTCCCACTGCTGTTTTCCTATTTAGCAGGCTACTTATAGCAGTTTTAAGCTACAAAATGTCACCTTTAGCGCAGTGAGAATAAACATGTAAAATTGTTACATACAAACTTTTGCATTAACCCTAGCGGTATATATCATCAGTTTATTCCAAAAAGTCACTAAGTACATTTTTGATGAAGCTGAAATTTTAAGAACGATTTTTAGAATTTCAACATTGTTTATGGATAAAAAAACACAAGTTCTCTAAACTATTTCATATATCATATATATTAACAACAAAATCACAATTTTATGATTTTATAATGGGAAAATTCATTAGAGTGCTAAGTGATTTAAGGTTTTTAAATGTTACTTACTGACTTTTTGTAATGAACCAGTGATATATTTTTAAAAAAGAGGCATTTACATAAAAATAGTTGAGAATATTTTTCTTTATTTTACTTTTACAGGAAAATTGTATTATTTCTTTTACATGTTTTTTTTTTTAATTACCAAATATAAATTTTTCTGGTTCATTAAAATTGATTGTAATATAAAGAAAAATCCTAAGATACCATTTTCTTTTTTTTTATTACTGGCTTGAATATTTATTTATAAGCTTGAAATGAATTAATCTTGAGATTAATCTTAATTTAAATTTCTTTATTTCAGGTTCTACTCCGCCGAAATAGCTATAGGTTTATTTTATTTGCATGTTAGAGGAATAATTTATAGGGATCTCAAATTAGATAATGTACTTCTAGACCAGGATGGGCATATAAAGATTGCTGATTTTGGTATGTGTAAAGAAGGTATAAGCGGAGATAAAACAACCAAGACGTTCTGTGGTACTCCAGATTATATCGCACCCGAGGTAATTACTTTTCATTATTTGGACTTTGATTTATTTCTTTATTATTCATAATGTGTTCTGTTTCAATGGAGATTATTAATTGTTGCTTATTAAACTCTCTTCTTATTCTTTGTCTTCCTCTTTGTGCCATTACTAGCATCAAGGAACCTCTATCCAATGCAGCCATTCCTCTTGGTCCCTACTAAGTCGCCTGATTTTCTGGAGGTTTTGTCTCTCTTCTCTCCAGTCCGCTGCACATAGGCCTGACAGGAAATTCTGGGACTGTCCCTTGTGGGTCAAGATTCCAGAAACTCTCTCCTCCACCCGACATATGTGGCCAAATCACTTTGACTGTCGGTTTTCTAGTAATGTTCTTAGCTCTGCCACCTCCAGATCCTCTCTTATACGTTCATTCCTGACATGGTCTTTCCAGCAGCTCTCCGCCCACACGCGGAGTCATTACAACATTGTTATAAAGCCTGTGATTTTATATGGGATAGAGACCAAATGCCTTGGAAACTTGGAAAAGCTGCTCAGAATAGAAAGGAGGATCTTAAGAAAAACATATGGGCCCAGGAAAACACATGAAGGTTACAGGTCTTCATATGTTTTTACAACCTCAATAAGTACACAATATTTACTAATCTCCAAATTGAAAACGCCCCATTTCCAAGAGATTTGTAAATAAAAAAGTTATAATTTATGATAAAATGAAGCCCCATTCATGAAGTTTTGGGTGGCTGTGGATTATAATCTATATAATTTAACTTCAGTTAATAGTCTTGTATATGTTTGTTTATTTATTAGAATCAAACAAATGTTTAATCTTACTTTTCTTTTACAGATTATTTTGTATCAGCCTTATGGAAAATCTGTCGATTGGTGGGCGTATGGTGTACTTTTATACGAAATGTTAGTCGGGCAGCCTCCTTTCGACGGAGAAGATGAAGAAGAACTTTTCGCCGCCATTACTGACCACAGTGTTAGCTATCCAAAAGGTCTCTCCAAGGAATCAAAAGAAGCCTGCAAAGGGGTTAGTCATAGAAGTATTAAAATATCAGATTATTATTGAACAAATAAAAAACATTGATCTTTCAAGAAAAGTCTTAGGTTTAGTACTCTGTAAGGAAGTAATCTCTCAAGGCCATGAGTTGTGCAAGGAGGCGGTAGGTTTAAGACCACACTCTAATCGCCCAGTTTTCCCCTTAATTAGTTATTTAATAAAGAGTACCCTCTTTTTAGGGGCTGTGGACGCCTGAGGAGAGTCTCGTGTTCCTAAGGTCAATCCACAGCTAATTTAACAGAATAAATAATTACCTACCACTGCCAGACTTGAACCCGTGAGCATAGTGAGTCAGTACCTTAACCACTGAGCTACCTCGCTCCCAAAATATGCTGTAACAACTGATTAATTAGTCAAAATATGTTCTGTTGATGTTATATGCGCTTCTTTCAATATACAGTTTATTGATTTCCTCCTCGTAAAAATTAAAAATTATGATTATTTCTAAGTTTTATCCTACTTGATGGCCCAATAGCCACTACTGATGCAAAATTGTGAAGGTTATTTTTTTTTAACATAAATTTTCATTGTTGACTAAATATGGATGATAATATCTAGATATGATTGGTAAGAATTAAATGTAATTAAAATTATAAAATTTTCTTATCATAATTTTTACGTTCGGTACCATTTTATTAAGCAGCTTTTAGTTCATAAGTCACTAATCAGTCTGTAATGAACGGATTGTAAAATAACATCAGACGTAGTGTTTTCTACGAACTAGAAATCCCAACTAAATTCCTTGAAATAAAGGATGGATATATAAAAATGATATAATATATCCTTGAAAATGGATCATGAAACCAAAACGTCGGCAAATAACGAAATATCTGTGAAACCTGTAAATAGTGCAAAAATCATACTTATGAAACACAATTTTTATTCCAAGAAGGTTGGTAATTTTTACAGGTGCAAGTTCAATTTTCGAGTTTCAACCCATGATTCACAAAAGAATGTTCATCTCTTTAATAGCTTAACAATAACTTAGCCGATTAGACAAAAATAAAGAAAGAAAAGTTAGCTCTCTGTTGATACCCGAAAAAAACTCACAAAATTGCACTTAATATACTTTTCACGCGTACCGCAGATATAATTTTTTTTTAATTCTTTATCGAGAAATATTACAATCTGTCACATCTAAGGACAATACTAACAGTGACAGAAGAGTAGCTCATTCACACTATGTACAATAAATAAGCTCCCTCCATTACACCTCTTACTCCAACGTATTACCTTTTGGGGAAATTCAAATTTAAATTTCAGATTAATAAAATTACAATATTATATACTATAAGTTCATCCTACTCTGATTTGTAATGTTAAATGATTAGACTGATTTTTTATACATATGCCTCCATAACAAGATTTTAAGCACTCACTTGTTTATTTATTTAGGTTATCCTAATTAACATTTAAAAATAATTAACTAAGGGGAATAACCTGGTGATTAAGAGTGATTCTGGCCTGATCACCTCCCTGTGCAACTCCATGGGCCTTGAAACAGTATTTCCTTACTACTTACTGAACTCAAGACCCTCCGTGGGTTGTAGTGGTACAATCTTTTCATCTTTTTTCTTATTTAATTAACATTTACAAGAACCAATTTTATGTAAATGTTACAGTTATACCTTACAATATTCAATATTTGTATAAAGAAAGATATAAAAATTATTTACAGTTTTTAACCAAGAATCCTACTAAGAGATTGGGCTGCGGACTGAGGGGAGAAGAAGATGTGCGTGGTCATTCTTTCTTCAGGAGAATAGATTGGGAAAGGATCGAAAACAGAGAAGTCCAGCCACCATTTAAACCTAAAATAGTAATTATTATATTCAATCAATATATGATTAATATTTTTACAAATATACCTCAAATAAAAACAAATGAATAACCATAATTAAGTTATTTATCATAATTAAAATAGTAATTTATATCTATTCTTTTTTTTTTTATTATTATTTTGTGAAGTTTCACTTATATGTCACATTATTTTGATGTATTTGATTTTAAGAAAGTAAATGAATTTTTTATTCTAACTAATTCAATACCTCGATTCATTATTTCTTGTTCTCTTTCATAATTAATAAAATCAAAAGTTCATCTTAATAAAGAATAAAAATATTTAAATTTTCAGGTTATAAAAATCATGTGCTACATTCAAGTAAAATAAATTTGAACTAGACTTCAGTTAATAATACAAATTAAAATTTATCCAATGATTTTTTTTATTGTTTGTTATAAGTGATTCTTGTTATGTTATGAAAAAATGTTTATTTTCTCTATCTTTTGGGAGATAAATAATGATCTTCATATTTATTTTAATTTTTTATTGTTGCATGATGTTTCGGATTAATATTTTATTTTCAAAAGCATTATAATCTGTTTCAGAATCACTATGTTTTTTATATTAAAAGATTTGAGTTTTTCTTTTATGTTGAGGCGGGAATTTGTCAGTTTTATTTTAAAAATAAATTCTTTATTTTATTATCAAATGTAGAATGTATCATCATTACATTATGTATTTCGCTTTTCAGAAACATCGGAAAGATGTAAGCAATTTTGATAAACAATTCACATCAGAGAAGACTGATCTAACTCCAACCGACAAGCTGTTCATGATGAATTTAGACCAGACGGAGTTCATGGGTTTTTCATATCTCAATCCGGAATTCATTCAGCATGTTTAGTACACCGCAGAATAACCTGGCGAGATGCTAAAATAAGTCTTCCCTTACACATTCCACAGCACGTGTCACTTTCTGCTACTCGAACCCGGGCACGATTGTTTTATCTGATATTTATTTCGACAATTCTATTTCTTTATTATTGTATGTTTTGTCGTATTCTAGATTAAGTTGGCATTGTTGTTTTATTAAGTGAGTCAAGGGACCACATGATATATATTTAACTAGCTACATTCTCATTTTAATTTTTATATAGGAAAAGTCAAAAATGTATTCGAGAACTTTTTTCATTACTTCACTGTACTTCTCTCTCATCAAGTCAATTGACATAGTAGTTTTAATCTTGAGTTCAAAGTATTGAAATAGTAAATTACCCAAAGAAGCTATCTATCTTCGATTCTCAATTGTTAAGTTTTCAAATATTATTTAAAAAGATCTATGTTTTTAGAATTAATTTTAATAATTAAGTCAAATTTGTAGTCTACTTATTAGATTGTACTAAGAATTCTTCATAAAATATTATAATCTATGTAGATAAAATTTGTTTTCTAAAAAAAAAATATATATATAAATATTGAGTCCAATCAAAAATCTTAGTTTGAAATTAGGTAAAGAAAAAGAAAAAAAAACTTTTTGTCTTAGCTTTTCCCTAATATAAATCTGAACTGGTGAATGCATGGGTGTGTAGAATTATTTTTTTTTATATATGTTTACTTTTTTATAATAATTTCATCTTTTTTTGTTAAATATAATTTTAAATTTAAATAATTTCACATCTTTTCCGCAATATATTCGAGAATGCCAAGTGATCATTGTTCTGTGTTACTATTAATTCATTTTGAAAATTTGCCAAGCATGAAAAAAAAAGAGTAGTTTCAATTTAGAATTTTGATTAAAAGGTGATTTTCAAAGGTGCATAAAATAATAAAGAAAAAAGAAAACCAAAGTATTCACGCGAAAGAACATGAAGTTCTTTTTTGATAAGCATATTAAACAAAAAAAAAATTAAAATCAGAAGTATTATTTATTTTGCTACTCTTATATACGCGTATAATTACGTTGCTAAAAAAGATAAAAGAAAAAAAAAGGACTGACGGATAAATTATATCTATAAATCAAAGAACGTACCTATAAAAGTCTTATTACCAAACTGCCTTCGTAAAATTTAATGTGGATAATTTATTTAATAAAATTTGTTTTCCTCATTGGTTAGTATAATGTTTTTTTAAAAATAATTATGCGTACAACAACAAAAATTAATAAATAGTTTGATACGATATTCTAGTTTAAGCAATAAAACCAGAGTTGTATTCATTCTTGCATTTTATTATTAGATTGGGAAACGTTTAGTTTTTCCTTTATTTTAATACAGCTCACTGTTGCTGTTGACAATCAACAATGTATTAATGGAAAACAGGAAAAGAAGTTTGACAATGGGAAACATAATTCCAAATCCTTATATTAATCCAGTAAAGAATAAAAAAATTAACTCAAGAAAAATTATTAATTACAAAAATGTATCACAGTTTCAAAATACCACAAGATACCTATAGATTAATTTTTCCATAGAATATTTCATTTTATATCTCTCAGAACATTTCATTTCATTCCTCCCAAAATATTTCATTTTCAAATACAGTCTAAGTTGAATAGATTATTCTTCCATAATTCTTTATGAATTTTATGGATAATCCATAATTCTTCAAAATTATTTTCATTCACTCCTTTATCATTCATTGAATATATTAATTATGGTCTAAAGTTCATTTAATGGCATAAATAAATTTTAAAATATATATATATAATTGTGTTAATTATGAATTACCATTGCAATTATACTGATATAGTAAAAATTATTATATACTTAGCAATAATGGTCTCAAGCGACATATTAATTATAGCATTAGTTTATAAATTTATAGCAATTTAGCATTTTAAATGACAACAATGGTCAACAGTTACGAGTCCCAGCTGTGCCCATTGGTGTTATTTATTATTCTTAAATATACACCTTTTATTATTAAAATAATTATAAGATTAAATTATATTTAGAATATCGTAGGTATTTTGAACTTTTTCCTTAGAAATGTTTGTTAGTTGTAATATTGAACTTATATAATAGTTTTTAAGGTTAATATTGGTAAACCTATTATGAAATATTAGAATATTATACTTTTACTTTTGAATATATTACGATATTATTCAATTTTAATTAGAATGTTGTCAGTTATAGATGCAATGGTAATAACGGATAAAGTGTTAAAAATTTGACAATAAACATTTTTAACATTGTTAAATAAAATTAAAATTTAACCATAATTAAAATAGTTCTTTGAATTTATAAAATAAATTAATTTCTAATCTAGCCAGATGAAGGGTTGATAAATTTATCATAATAGAGGTTACTATAAGATTGTTTGTTCCATAAGTCTTTTGACTTTTAATTCATTAATTTTTGCTGTTAAAATCATCAATTTTTCCATTATTATATCCCATTATTTATATTTATGATCCTATAAAAATTTAGATAAAAAAACAGTTAATGCCAATAATAATTAGGAATAAAATTAATTATATTGTAAAAAAAAATGAAACAGCACTGTTTCATTATATTAAACAAAACTATGAATTACTGAATGATATAAAAATTAAGTAAAGCATTAAAATTGATTCAGTAAAGTATAGTTTCTGTTTAATAAATTGTAACATCTGATATAAATAATAAAACTTTTCATCACACTACCACATTGTTAAATTTCTTTTGTGGCAATGAAGTTTTTAAGTTAAACTTTATCTTCCTATTGAAAGAAAATATATGCTAATATATCTAATAATTTCAAAGTTTGATAAAAATTAAGTTAACAACTTAAAAACAAAAATAAAGAACTAAGTGTGAAATTTACCTCAAACTAAATGTTTAGATGACCTGGCTAGAATATGTATTAATTAAAATCCTTTTAAGTTTTATTTTTTGGAGAATTAAAAAGGTACTGTTGTAACAGATCCCAGTTTCAGTGTTGATATATTGTAAAATCTTTCAGTGTGTTTAGATCGATTAATGAATAGAATTAATTGTGAAAACGAGAAAAATATATTAACATAAAGACAATTCTACTTAAGTACGCTAAAAAACAAATAGAGCCTTCCTAACCCAGCTATTCATACTTTAATTTGTTAATATATTAATTCTTAATTAATCTTTTTGTACATTTCCAAATTATAATATTCTGATATTTTCCTCTAATTAGAAAGTTTTTTATATCAGTGAGGTTTGAAAATTATTAATGTAATATACCATCTTATTCATTTCTCGTACCTTTGAATCCTGAAAAAAAAACTGGTAAAGACATATTCATGTTTTGGCAAAACATTGTACATTAACAGAATAGATGTACAAACGCAAACCTTGCACAAAGGAAAATAAAATAATAATAAGAAAATACTTCTATTTTAATTTTTTTAACATGTATTTGGGTGGAGAAGAATTTAATTAAAATTTGCTATTTTAAAATATAGAATTTATTTAAACCTATAGTTAAAAATAATCCAAAATGTTTCTAAATCACTTTTTATTTTATTTTTTTAAATATTCATTTTTTAATACTCACTGATATGAAAGGAAGTCTAATTCTAATACACATTCTGAATCTGCTGTTAAAAATTCTGAGGAACGAAGTTAAATTAGATTTTTTTTTAATGAATGGTTTGCCTTCAGTGGAAAATGATTTTCACTCCAAGCAGTCATTGTAAAATCTTTGATAACGAGTGATTAATTATTTTTTATCAATAACGGCTATCTGCCATATTCTATAAAAGTTGTTGGATTCTATTTTAATAATCTTGTACTGAAAAAAACAAGAATTTAAATAATATAAATTTTGTTCATAATTGCGGAATGCACTGCAGTCCATATTATTTTTTCTTGACAAGTGAAAATCTAAAAAAAATTAAAGTGAACTGGTTTTTTTTTTTGTAGTAAAACTAAAAACTGGAATTATGTTGACCATTGATTATGATAACGTGTTCAAGATTTTTTTTTAAATATGTAACTGATCAAACATTAAAAGAGAAAAAAACATTTTTCTTCTCATATTATGAATTAATATAGACATATCAAGCTTCAAATTGAAATTATTTTCGATGTATCGCTGCGGTTTCTTCATTCTTTGCTCTATTATATAGACGTTCAATCAGTTTCTATTTTAGCTAGTATGAATAAGTATTATCCTTAACGTTGAAGCTTGATATCCTATTGAATTTGCATAAATATCTCTTGCCTTTTCCCATAACTTTCATGTGATAGTCGTTCATAGCTTTTCAGCATTTATATTCATCTCATAAAGAGTTGTTATTTTTATTAATAGTAGATTATACATTGTTTAGATAAATTTCGATTTATACCTTCAAAGTATTTATAATTATTTAAAAAACTAAATAAAAAAACTAAAAGAATTAAGTAATATTGAAAATTATAAAAAATCGTCTACCTGGTTAACACAGATTAGGGTCTGACAGATTATGTTCTTTTGACCTGATTAATAAATCTGTCAAATTGGGTAGGTCATATATCGTGTATTAAACTGTACATATGATCATATTTGTCTAAAATAAAACATTAGATTATTTATTTATACAAGTGGTTAATATTGTTTTAATTTTAGATTGTTTTACCATAAAACTGTACTCCTTCTTATTTATTATCTAATGGCCTAAAATTAAGTATGTGTAAATAAAGAACAATTTTTGAATCTTTGAAGGCACTCCTGCAGCATTGTTCTTAGCTCCATGGTTAAATGCTTTTTTTTTAAGGCAATGGACGATTCCTTTCATTATGTATTATTTTAAAAATCAAGACCCTTATTCCTGATCTGAATGTAGCAATACTGTACGATCTGCCTTTTTTGTTATTGTTATTTAATTTTTTTTGTTTTAAATATTTTAAAAAGCTGTAGATGTATAAACACCATACTTTTTTAAGTATGCTATTAAAGTTTATTATCTCT